ACACTCATACACACACACACTTTTCTACGAATGTATTTGAGAGACTGTTCAGAAATAATGGTAAAAAGATTAAAAAAAAAAAAGAAGAAGAAGAAATTGATTCTGATCGATTGTCTTTAGACAGAGAAACAAAAAAAAAAAATTCGAGCGATGTATGTACCAATACGACGAACGAGAATTTTGTCACATTTTACGGGCACGACCCGCTGAAAGACACGGTGGAAAAGAAGAGAAAAAAAAAATGCAGAAGAGGAAGTTACAAAATATAACCTTGTGTAACGTCATAGGGAGATGTGATGTTTTTAATTTTCCATAACCTTCGTGTTCGCTTGTTATGCCCTGTACATATATAAGATACGTTCGGTAAAGTTTTCGTTTTACTTTGTTGTAAAAGTAAGGGGAATGTATTTGCTCGTAACGGCATTTCGGTTGCTCGACGTTGAATGTTCGTTTTTCGACAGGATTTTAAATTTAAGTTGCTCGTATAATATTTCGCTCGGAAAATTCGTTTCACGTTCACAAGACTTGCGCATAAGTTCTAAATGTCTATATCAAAATAACGAATATTGTAGCGTACGCAGAAGAAATATTTTTTATGTACGTTTAATACGTATAACGGTATGAGAAAAATAAACCGTCGAAACTTAATTTTGTTCTCGTTATACCGTTGTGAATTCGCATGAAACAAACGTTCTATAATTTTAACATTTAAATCTATTATTTTGATTTTTTATTTCGATTATAATTTTTTGATGGGAGAAAAGGAAAAATTAAAAACCATATATAAAAACTTTTTAATTTGAGCGTTAATTAACTGTGGAAAGTGTACACGTTTACTTTCTCTTGAGTGAAGTGCGCATGCGCAACGTTTGTGTACTACCAGTTATCTACGCGCTACCATTGACCGTTTGCCATTCGCGCATCGTCAATGGGTGGATATACGTCGTTTATGTTTCATATATTTTGCTGTTTTTTTTATATAGCCAACGGTGTTATATACAAAAATAAAGTTTAAATATGATATGTATATACACCCATAGCATTATTGGTTATTTTCGTACTTTGTATCGATATATTATAGGTTACAATAAGTAATAGATAACCGTCATACATTTCATAAATTGTACATTTGGCTTAAAAAAAAATATAACTGTTGTTATGTCAGTTATTTGTAATCAATATGCAATATTTGTTTTAGTACAAAGAAATATAATTAATGTTCTAATTCCTATAATTTTTTGTTTTGTTACGAATTTGAGTTTTAAATTAAATTTAAATCAAATCTACGTTTCGTTCGAGCATGCCAGATAATTGCACAAACGTAAAATCTCTAGCACTGAGGTTATGTTACTAGTCTAGTCGCTCGCGTTGCGTGCGAGCCTTTACATATAAACATGTAAGACAAAGACTAAGACGCTACTTTCAAAGTTCTGCTTTAAATTGATCAGTGGAAATCAATTGTTTTCCGTTGGCGCGAATTATCGAGCGATTTCCTAAATTAGGCGATATTCAAAACTGACGACCCAAAAACCAACAGTCAAAATAAGCAATTCAAAGGACACGAGCATGCCGCCAAAGTGTAAATTTCAAGAAGGTACATATTTCATTTTTAATACAATTACATCGAAAGTATCAGTGTGCATTTGATGAATTTTTATAACTGAATAATAAATCATTTTTTCATTCACGATCAATTTCCGATCCTATTTTGAATAAATACGTGCTAATTTGCAGGGGAGAAAGTCTTATGTTTTCACGGGCCATTAATTTATGAAGCAAAATGTCTAAAGTCCTCCATTACTAAAGAAAAGCAGATTAAATACTTCATTCATTATGCCGGATGGAATAAGAAGTAAGTTTTCGTTTTCCATTACCTATTTATAGCAAGGCTAAAATTACAAATATAAATGTAATATAAACAGTTGGGATGAGTGGGTTCCGGAAAGCAGAGTTCTTAAATACAATGAGGCAAATGTGCAGAGACAGAGAGAAGTTCAAAGAGCACATTCAAATCAACAATCTGCACAGAAAAATAAAAAAGGCAGTACTTCGTCTAAAACTCAAGGACGTAGAAATGAAGGTGTACGTGAAAAAGATACTGATAGCAGAGCTAGTACTCCTGTTGCTACAGTTGATAAAGGTG